CCAGAGGGATTGCCACACTGCAATCCCTTCTCTTCCATGTTCCTCTCAGGATTTTGGGCACACGGGTACATGTGCTGGGTCTAGGACTCGAACTGCAGTTGGCCATGTGGACATTCAGTGCCTTAATGACCACACCACCTGCTAGCCCCATCCACTCTATTTACTCTGACAATCCCTTCTTTTGGTCAACCTCTCAGCAAGCCAAGAGTATAACCAAATAGTCTCGTGTTATTCTCTGTTACCACTGTTGATGTAGTCACAGAACAAAGAGTTATTAGGCATTGTCATCATCAGCCATTGTGTTGGGATGTAAGGCCACACAGTCATCCGTATTCAAAATGACAGTCACCACAGGCATGAGTGGTCACGTTGTTGAATTCCCCACGTTGTCTGATCCTGATGGCAGTGACTGTGGTTATGTGAGTGGCTTCTGCAATGCATTTACAATCTTTGAGAGGATATACTGCACTAGGGAAGTAAACAGAACAATAAGGAGAGTAATAGCCAACGACTGAAAAGTTCCCTGCAGCAGAGGTTTCCAGGAGCCAAGGTTTAACCAATGAACCAAATCAACGGAGGATTTAGTACCAATCTGATGAAAGATTTATATTTGTTCCTTAAGATTTCTTAAGGGAAGACTGGCTCCATGGCCTGATGGTTAAGGCAGCTGGGTTCCATCTGGCCAACCTGGTGATTCAAGGCCCAAACCTGGCAGCCAGAGAAACACACCAGGAAGGAACATGTGTGAGTCCAGAATCTCGACAGAATGGAGATATGGAGGAAAGGACTGGGCATGACCATTCTCCATGGAGGGTACTTTCTCCCTTTCCCTCCCCCCTGTGAATCCGTCTCTCGCTGGCAAGTGAATATATCTTCTAAGAAATTAAAAGGTTAAGAGAAAAAAATCCCTGAAGGAAACAATCAACTTTTAAATTTATTAACATAGAAACATTTTTTTTTTTTTGAGAAGTTTTTGCTATAGGGCGCGTACACTCGCCAGACAGAGACTAACTGCTGGTCCCAACATAGAAACATTTTTATTAATAAGAGTACAAGGGTTTTTTTGGGAACCAGCAGTTAGCATAATGGCTGTGCACGGACTCCCCACTACGCCCCCAGGGGGATCGCAATCCCTTCTCCTCCATTCTCCTCTCGGGATCTTGGGCACGCACGCACACGCGCCCAGTGTGAGTTTAAGCCTCCGGGTCTGGGACCCGAACCACGGTCAACTACATGGGAGTCCAGCGACATAGCCATTATGCTAACTGCTGGTCCCGATATAGAAACATTTTTATTAATAAGAGTACAAATTTTTTTTCCTGTTGAGCTGTGATGGTATCAAGAACTTTTCGTTTGATGTACCACTGATGCTAAATTGCTTCTTCTTTTTTTTTTTTAAGGGAATTCAAAGTATTGTTTTATTAAAACAAAAGAAAAACAAAGGTTACTATTTGGAGCAAATTATGGCTTTCTGAGAGTCTAGGGGACAGCTAGTCATGAGGACTTCTAGACTTGACTTTAAAGGATCTTTAGGTGGTGAAATGAAGACAGCAGTTGAATGTCTCTGGCTATGTCATCGGGTGGTGTTGGGTGAATTTTCTGATGACCCATATAGTAGCAGGCATGACGCTGTCCATACATGATCTGTTGCAGTGATTTAAAAAAATATATTTTATTTAACTTTATTTAAATCTGACCAGAGAGGGAAGGAAGGAAAGCGAGCGAGCAAGCAAGCTGCCAGGTCCGAGACTCAAACTGCAGTCTGTTGTGTGGGAGTCCAGCGCCTTTAACCACCACGTCACCTGCCAGCCCCATACAGTGATTTTTTCATTTAATTGCCAGAAGGTGTATGTATTCACAATCAAGAGACAGAGAGGAGAAAGCACCCCCTCAGTAGGCTGTGGTCACACCACAATCTCTTCTCTATTTCTTTTCAGGATTTGGGGCATGAATGCACTGGTGCCCAGCGTGTTTTTCAAGTTGCCAGGTCTGGGACTCAAACCACGCAATGAGCCATGTGGGATGCAGCTGCCTTCTCCATCACTGCACTGGCTGGTCTAATGAGCAATGTGGGATGTAGCTGCCTTCTCCATCACTGCACTGGCTGGTCCCCTTTAAAGTTTATTTCATGAGAGAGAGAGAGAAAGAGAGAGAGAGAAAAGGAGAGAGAGAAAGACAGGGACCCTCTAAATGGCCTTCAAGCTGTAGTCCACCCTCTGCCTCAGCAGGCCAGGGTCACAGGCACATGTGCGCAGCATCTGCAGATGTACAGAAGCCCTGGGAAGCAAACCTGGATCCACGTGCATTATCACCATGCTCCATCAGCCCTGGGGCTGGGATCTGAACATGGCTGGCCATGTGGGACCTGGCTCCCTTAAGCACTAGGCTACGAGGCTGCCCTATAGTGATTTTTTGGAGTATAAAGTCATTTAATGTTTCTCATTTTCATTTTTTTTGATGCCTGAGGGCATGTGCACATGGGGTAGGGGTGGTACCCTTCAACAGAGCCTGGTAATGCTTGCAATCCTTTTTCTATTAATTCTCTGTCCTGTCAGGATCATGATTTTTTTTTTTTTAAGAGAGTTTTTTTTTTTTTTTTTTGCTATAGGGTTCATGTGCTCACTGGAGACAGAGGAAGAAAGCGAGAAATTACCTCCCGGGGGAATGCCCACACCACAGTCCTTTCTCCATTCCCCTCAGGATTTTGGGCACACACGCACATGTGCCTAGCATGAGTTTTAAGCCACTGGGTCTGGGACTATGTGGGAGTCCAGTGATGTAACTGTTACGCCATCTGCTGGTCCCTGGATCATGATTTTTCAAGTCACTGGGGGT